GTCCTAATGACCTTATAGATAAATTGAATTATTATTTATTAATCAACTAAATTATTTTTTATTATTTTAGAACTCTAATTTTACTTAAATTAATTAAGTTAGAATAATTAAAAAGTAAGACGAAAAAAGTATTTAAAAATAGTATTTGATTTTAAATACAGATACCTTCAAAAAAGTATTCAAATACTTTTTTCAAATGTATTTAGAATACGTATTTGAGTACTTAAAAAGTATTTGAATACTTTTACTCAAGTACTTTACAAGTCTGCCACCTAGTGGTACACCCGATTTAATTGGTGCGATTCCTGAAATCGATGAGTAGTATTGGACTTGAAAGTGTCTATCAGTCAAATAATATTTAATTAATAAGTATAATGAAGATGGAAGAAATTTTTTAAGTTTAAATTGCAAACCTTTATGCCACATTCGGTCGAACGCTTGTGCAACATCTAGAAAAACACAAGAGCAATAGGTATAGCTTTATTTCCAGGGATGTAGAAATAACATCAACAACTCTATGCACTTAATGTATTGTGCTATGGGAGTTTCGGAACCCGAACTGAGTATTTGGAAGTATACTGTTAGTGATAATATGCTGTATTAAGCGTTTTAAAATAAGTCTTTCCAAGATTTTTTAGAGAAATGGCAAGAGCAGAGGCGGTTTGAATGTTTTATACTTAGTGGTGCAAGACAATATATAGACACCCCCTCCCCCCCCACCATCATAATAGAAATTACAAATAAATATTTTTTAATAAGTTTATAGTTTATAATTATAAGGCYCTTATATTCTTAACTCGACGCTTTCAACAGTTTCAGCCAYGATTATCATTTATCATATGTCATATGTACTTTATTACTTTTTTYATTTATTAAACATTAAAATTAAACATTGCGGTCAGCACATGCTCAACCAAGACCACCCACCCCCCTAACATTGGTGGTGCAGTGCACCAAAAATARTATACTCAAACCGCCTCTGGGCAAGAGACTTATTGGTCTGAATGAGGTTRGAATATCAAGTGGTTTGTCAGGCTTAGGAAAAACAACTATTTTAGAGAATTTCTATAACATTGGGTAATAAGACAGTCTGAGAATAGCGTTRAATATATATGGTATTAGTAATATGGCTTTTTTTGGAAGGCACCTAGCTACTTCGGCCGTAATCAGATCAAAGCCTGGTGACTTTTTTAGTGAGTATTTTTGTATAGTTTGTTTAACTTCATTAGGGGTGAAATATTTTTCAGGTTGACTGGTTGGAGATGGTAGGTTTAAGTAAGTGTTTACCTCATCTACATTTTCAGGTGTAAATATATCATGATGCGGTTTAAACGTTTAGTGGAGATGGGCTTTAAAWACTCCAAGTATTCTTACTACGGTAAATGGAATATTGATTGAAAATTATCAAAAGAATGTGCAATTACAATGGTTATATTATTTGGAAAGAGCAATTTCATACTCTTAATTGAAAAATACAGAAGAATTACTTAGATAATTAATATATTAGGTATTAAAAAACGCTGTGTCTATATGCCCGACCATGGTCGGTAAGATAAGGGACGCCCGACCATAGTCGGTAATATAAGAAACTCTCGACCTTAGATCATATTATATAGTATGTGATCTAAGCTCACGACCATGGTCGGTACTCGGTAAGATAAGGACCGCCCGACCATTATAATAAAAACAACATAACATATCATAAAATAACATAACATATCACATAACGTCATGATAATATGGACATAACTGATGACTATATTTGGTTAGCCGAAAATGGACAGTATGACTCTCCAGGCTTTTGTGCCAAGTATTGCATCTATTCAGTAATGGATTTACGTAGTGGAAAAATAGTMGACTTTAAACTTGTTCAAAAAGGTATGGTAAAAGGAGACTTGGAAAGAAAAGGTTGTGAATTATTACTTGATGATCTGACCAAAAACCAAAATTTTAATATTAAATTGTTTCTTACTGATCGACATAAAGGAATTCGTTTTTACATAAGAACACAGCATCCTGAAATACAACA